TTAATTAATTAAAATGAAATAAAGTTCCATGTTGCTTACAAAAGATATCCTAAAATGTAAGTACACTGAAAACATAAACATATAATAAGGTTATAACAAATTAATATTAAAAGATAAAATGTCAACTGTATTTACAAAGATATATTAGACAAAATCAATTAAAAATGTATTACAGAAAACGGTAACCACTTAAAATGATAAACAGTTCAATTCACCAGAAAGACATATGCATTCTCCCCTTGTATTACCTCAAAACAGAGCTTCAAATTATTTAAAGCAAGAGTTGACAGAACTATGAGGGGCTAGACTAATCCACACACAGAGAGATTTTAGCACCGCTCTCTCCATAAAGATAAATCATGTAGTCAAAAAAATCAGTTAGATTATGAAATCTTTGAACCACAAAATTAATAAGGTTAACTAAAAGAAGCACATAGAATACAGAACCCAATTACACTTGCAATTGTAGGATATGCTTTCTTTTTAAGCACACATAAAGAATGTAAGAATACTGATTATGGCTGTATTACACAAACGACTACTCCAAGGATTCCTCAGCCTCAGCCCTGTTGACGTTTTGATGTGGATAATTCTTCATCATGGGGGATTGTCCTGTGCACTGTAAGATGCTTAGCAGCATCCCTGCCCTGTACCCACTAGATGCCAGCAGCAACAAACACCCTTTTGCTTCCTCCCTCTACCCCGCCATCTCTGCTGTTAAACTCCTCAATTCCCAGAGTATTAAAGACTTAAACTTATAAAGAAAAAAAAAAAAATTAAAAAAATTATCTGGAGAATGAGGTTATGTTCTTAGGATAGGGAAATTTATTATGCAAGCCCCAAACAGAGAAATCTATACAGGAAAAATTGGAATTTGACTATATTAAATAAAGAACTTTTGCTCATCAAAAACCATCACAAATAATGTGAAAATACAGACCACACACTGATGGAATATATTTTTAACATATTCAGAATACATAAATTCTGTACATCAAAAAGAAAACATAAATGGTAGCTTAAATAATTTATCATGAACAAAAGAGCAGACACTTGACTGAAGAGGAAAATTCAAATAGCCAAACAGCATAGGAAAAAATATATACATCAATCTTTGTAATAAGGTAATATAAATTAAAGCTTCAGTTGGCTTCCATTTCATATTCCCCTGGCTGCAAAATTTCAAAAGTTTTATAGTATCAGATGTTAGAAACAATATTGAACAATTTTTGAAGTATTGGGAAACCACTTGACTCTATCTAAGAAGTTTGAAAATGTGCAAACCTCATTATCAAGTCCAGTCTTAGGTATATACCCTGGTGCCTTAGTCTGCTCTGGCTGCCATGACAAAATACCAGCAACTTAACAGAAATTGATTTCTCACAGTTCTGAAGGAAGGAAAGTCCAAGACCAAGGTGACTGCCAATTAGGTTTCTAATGAGGGCTCTCTTCCTGACTGCAGATGGTTCTCTCACTGTATTCTCACATGGCCTCCCTTGGTGCATGCAAGAGAGACAGAGACAGAGAGAAATAGAGACAGAGAGAGACAGACAGAGACAGAGACAGAGACAGAAAGAGAGAATCTCTTCCTCTTGTTATAAATCTACCAATTGTATTGGATTAGGACCCTATCCTTATGATCACATTTAACTTTACCTCCTAAAAGCCCTATTTCTCAATACAGTCACATTGAAGGTTAATGTTTCAGCATAAGAATTTGGGGGAGAGGTCACAATTCAGTCCACAGCACCTACAGAATGTGCAGCATATGTCCACCGGTTAACATATGCAAGATTCACAACCAACACAACTGCCTGGTGAAAACCTAGCCCCATTATCATGGCAATCTGCTAATGACTAGACAAATCATGAAGCATTCACAGAAAACACAAACTAGCTGAGCTGACCCAGATGAGAAGAGTCATCCCTGACCTTCCACAAAAGAATCAGCTAAATCAAATGTGATTTTTTTAAGCCACTAAGTTCCGGATTGTATGTTCATGCAGAATGGACTAACTGATATAGTAGCCTAGATATTTGAAATGTCTCTGAATTTACACATGCTTCAGATTTATCCAAATTGAATCCAATGAACAAATGCTTATTATATGCATATATGCCTTTTCCTATATTATATAAGGCAAAATTCCCTACTCTCTAGCTGATGCGATTTTAAAAAATGAGATACAAACTCATTCGAAATGTAAATGACTAGATATGGAAATAGTAGTTCAAGGCAATACTTTTAATAGATTTTTACAAGACAATGGATTACTCATAGCTACACAGTAGATAAAATAAATGATAAAAAAGAACTGTTTAGACTCAGATTATCAGGAAAGTTCTTAAAAGAAGAGGTAGAATATAATTATTTAAATCATTTATATGTTGATATTTTATTCATTTAAAATTTATCTGGCTATTCAGGGGGAGTTTAACTGTTTCTCAAAAAGCAAAGTTCAACTTGAGAATTGTCATATATTAGGTAATATGCTAAACCCTGTAAATGAAAAGATGATTGATACCTGTTCCCTGTAATTAATGAAGACCAATACCATATGATAACAAATAAAAAATAGAGGTAAGTATCCCATAGAAGTGGGATGGTTACATCTTTCATTGGTTTGGAGATTCATGTTTTATTTCTTTTTTAACTTTTAAGTTCAGAGGTACATGTACAATAGGGAAACTTGTATCACGGGGGTTTGCTGCACAGATTATTTCATCACCCAAGTATTAGGCCTAGTGCCCATTAGTTGTTTTTCCTGACCCTCTCCCCATTCCCATCCTCCACCCTCCAATAGGCTCCAGTGTGTGTTGTTCCCCACAATGTGTCCATGTATTTTCATCATTTAGTTCCACCTGATAAGTGGGAACATGCAGTATATGTTCCTGTGTTAGTTTGCTAAGGAAAATGGCCTCCAGCTCCATCCATGTCACTGCAAAGGACATAATCTCATTCTTTTTTATAGCTGCATAGTATTCCATGGTACATATGTATTACTTTCTTGGAGGAATGTCCTAAAGAGTAAAAAAAGTATTAGGTAAACAAATAAATATTGGAGGATGTGGTCAGAACCAAACCCCAGACACATGAAATAGCAAGTAGTATAGTCACACTACTTGAAGTAGGTCATTTCTTATTCAACAAATACAGAGCAATGTCTATATTTCAATCCCTGTACTAGAAAGAGAATACAATAAAGAATAAAATAGAAATGGTCCAAAGGAACTCTTACCAGTGGGTGTAGTCACACAATGAAAAAGCAAACAACCTAAGGTAAAATTAAACGTTGCAAATAATGCTATGAAGAAAAAGACCAGAGTGCTGTTCAAAGTCTAATTAGGAGCAATTGGAGTATTTTCACTAGAAGAGTAGCATGATTTAATGTGACAAATTTAGCACTTTAGACTTTCTAACATAAAAGTTATACTTGGAGCTGAACTGTGTTCCCTCAAGATTTATAAGTTGAATCCCCAACCGCCAGTACCTCCGAATGTGACTGTATTTGGAGATAGGACCTTTAAAAAGGTAAATACGTTAAAACAAGGTCCTTAGGGTGGGCCCTAATCCAACCTAACTGATGTCCTTATTACAGACACTGGGGGCATGCACAGAAGAAAGACCATGTGAAGACATAGCAGCAAAGTAGCCATCTGAAAACCAAAGAAAGAGGCCTCCGGAAGAAACCAAACTTGTTGACACCTTGAGATTGGACTCCTAGCCTCCAGAACTGTGAAAAACAAATTTCTGTTGCTTAAGATACCTAGTGAGTAGTATTTTGTTACTGTAGCCCTAGCAAACTAGTTATTGATTTCTTTTTGTCAGCTAGCTAGCTAGCTAGCTATCTAAAACAGGTCAACAAATGGCCACAGAGCAGAAATAATAATAACAAAATAAAAATTAGACCTGGAGAGTATCCAAATACAAAAACAGAAGAGATAAAGTCTTCTAGGTCAGGCTCAGTCCTAATTTGAACTTCATACTGGAGGTGAAGGGGTACCATTGAAGCATTTTAGTATATAGACTGCATGTCCTATATTCAAGATTTATATTGAAAAAGTTACCCTCAAGTTCCACTATAAATCTGGAAATAATGTGGATGGATGAAGGGAAAGACTGGAAAAGGGAGTCAGCTCAGAGATCCTAGCAACAGTCCAATCAAGAAATTCCTCTTGTGATAGGAAGACTCAACAGAGAATACCCATCTCTTGTTTAAGGAATTGGGTTTAGTGTTCGAGAAAGTTTTGGAATTATCACTGAGAGGATGGGGCAATGCAGCTGATTAAGGACACATAAAAAAAGATGATTGAATGGCTCTCCATTCTTATATGTGATCATACATTCTTCCTGATTGTACTCTTCCCTGGAAAAGTCTCTTACTTCTGAAAAATTTCTCAGTCTCCCATGCTAGGAATCTCCCTCAAATTTGAGTTCCAATGCTATTAAATTACTCTGCCTCAATGGCCACACTGATTGAGTTGAGTGAGCATCTTCCCCAAACTGAACCAATCCTAAGGCCTGAATAATCACTGATAACTAATATATTCAGAACTAGTCATTATTCTAAGCTCTGCATAGTAACTCATTTAATCATCCTAGCAATGCAATGAGGTAGGTACAATTATTATTCCCTTTTATTCAGATAAGAAAATTCAGGCACTGGGATGAAAACTTGTCCCAAGTCACATATAGGTCAGGTTTTACATTCCAGGAATCTGGTTTCACATTCCGCTTTTTTTTTTTTTTTTTTTTTTTTTTTTTTTTTNCCTATTCTTTTCTTATTTATTCATTTGAGACAGAGTCCCACTCTGTCATCCAGGGTGGAGTGCAGTGGTACAATCTTGGCTCACTGCAACCTCCACCACCCAGGTTCAAGTGATTCTCCCGCCTCAACTTTCTGAGTAGCTGGATTACAGGCATGCACCACCACGCCCAGCTGATTTTTGTAGTTTTAGTAGAGACAGGATTTCACCAAGTTGATCAGGCTGGCCTCGATCTCCTGATCTCGTGATCCACCCGCCTCAACCTCCCAAAGTGTTGGGATTACAGGTGTGAGCCACCACACCCAGCGGCATTCCACACATTCTTAACCACTACCCGATAATGCCCTTGATGAATTTCTTCATCCAGAAATATGCACCTGTTCCAAGGTGACCCAATAAGAGTTTTTCCTTGGATTTGTGTCCTTGGGTGCTGGAATTAGAAGCAGTGTGCATGATTCCTCTTAGAAACCATGAATCCAGTTGTGTAGAACCTAAACTGATGAACTGAAGAAGATACCCTGACAAACATGTCTTCAGAAATTAGAGATGATGTGAGGAAACATTTGACTCTCCGATCAAAATCATCTCTGAGACCAACTGGAGCCCTGACTTCTATTGATGTGATGACGTGAGCTTATTCAGCCCCTTTCAAGATAAACTAGCTTAAATTTTAAAGCTTGCAACTAAGAGTCGTAAGTAATTAAGGATACAATTCTGCATAACTGTGGGAGAGTCTTTAGCAATGCTCAGTCATAAGTAGCATGGCAGATAGCTGTGTCACTGCTGGCTGGGAATTCACTAGGCAGTTGTATTAGGAAGACAGGAGCACAAATAAACTGAACATGTGAAAAACAATCAGGTGAGAAAATAAGTGAGGTCAGAAGGGAGTGGTATCCCTGGGGAAAAGAAAGCAGGCTGTGGAGTAGGCTTGGGCAAGTAATGTAATCAGCCAAACTTTAGATGCCTCTTTTTCGTACTGGGATAAGAAAAATTGCCTTTCTTATGTATTATGAGGATTAAATGAGATAATCCACATAAACTATCTAGGACAGTGCTCACACAGTGCTTGGTACATAGTAATCTAAAATGTTGTTGTTGAGGTTAAGTGGCCAATGATATGGGAAAATGGATTGACAAAGAAGGGGATGTTTGTTTGAGCAGATACTGAGGATAAATGAATTCTGATAGGTAAGAGGATGCAAATAATCCCTCTTCTCTTATGCCTCCATGCCCACTTGTTCATCCCCTAACTTGTAATACAGGTGATTCTAGACTCTCCTGCACACATTCCATAGAGGCTAAAGTCATAGTTTAAATAACGTACATAAGAGATGATTTCAGTGATAAAATCTAACTAATATGCAAAGTTAATAAAGACAAAAAAAATCCAAAACACTGTTTATCATTTCCATATTAAATGTTTCTTTGCAACCAAAATATTAATTATTAAAACATTAGTATAATTGTAATTGCATCATCAGTGATGAAATCTCTCTCCTGCCTGTAACAAATGCGATTTCAGCTTGTACTTTTGCAATGAGTGATGAAGAAACTTCCAGATGGAGAGGTTTAATTTGTGAGATTTTCCCTAGTCTATTCGCATTGGCTTTAACTTCCATTTTAAATTACAGACAGAATTCCCAAAATTTCAAATAGCCCCAAGAGATCTGATGAAATAGCTAATCTCTTTCTATGAGCATGCTAACAAAAGCAATTTCTTACTGAGCTATATGCTACCCAGTGGGACTGATAATGAATCTGCATTATGGTAACCTTTATAAGAAGGGAAGATAAGAAGGCCTTTTGGGGAGGTATATTTATTAGGTGGTGAATGTGTCTCTCTGTATGTGGATTTTTCTGTTTAGATCCATTTTTCACTCAACTACGCCAAAGACCATCTATGTTTCTCTTTTTGCCTCACCTCTGAATTTATAAAGCTGATCCTATAACATATCACAGTGTCAATAAATATTAAACACCAACATGCTGTACAGCTTGCTCACTGTTCCATTTCTCCCATTTTGAACAAGCAACCGCATTTACATAGATCATTGTGGGATTTATACTAATTTCTCTCTAAGATTCATAGAGTTCAAGCTTCTGCTCACACAGAGTTCTGTGATTATTTATTTGTTTATTTGCAAATTGGAGGTGGGGGGCAGAACTTGCCTTTTGTCACCCAAATATAAAAAAGCGGCATTTACTGGGAGTCTCCTACAGAGGGCACCTTCACCTTATTGGAAACCCAATGAAAGAGAAACTCAGTGGTTACCAGAGGAATAACTAAATCTTCAAGGCAGAAGCACATGCTTGCTTTGCTAACCAGTTTTCTTCTCTATGTTATCTTTGTTACCTTATCTTTAATGAAAAAGAGCTGGCACCCTTTGTATAATCATTCATAGATTCAGGCCAGTAACACTACCTTATTATTATGTTCAGCTTGCTTGTGGGTGAGCTGGAGACAGCTGTTCATATTGCCTAAGAGGCAACAGATCAATGAAAGGAAGGGAAGGACAAGTTTTGAGCTGCCTTTTTGCAACAATGTCCTTTATACAACAGAGGATATTTTTAAAGCATTGTATTGCAAAACAAAGGCTGATAATAAAGTAAAATGTTTACATAACAAACCTTTGCTGTGTAGTTATGATTAGCAAGTGTTTTTAGACTAAAATTACTTAAATGGAAACAAAAAGTATATTTTTTTTGATACCAAAAATGCCAGGCATTATAGACTATAAATCTAAGAAAATAATTGCTATTTGGAAAATTCTGAAAATAGGCATGTGTATGTGTGTGTGCAAGAGTGTGTGTGTTTGTGCAGCATAGAAAGCAATTCCTTGAAACTGTTTCTTCGTAGCTAAATTAGTAAAAGATATTTTGTGATTATATTTTTAAAATAAAAGACTATATTCTAAAATGTAAGTACATATTCATAGAAATTGTTCTTTAAAATTTTTTTCATTATAAATTAAGTGCCATATACATTTAGAGGATTTGACATATAAGATTAATCTGATGTTGATTTTTGAATGCCTTATGTTTTATAATAGCTAATAATATTAACATATATAATATCAAGATTTATAAACAACACGTTATGTATTTACCTTTGACAATTCCTAATTAGGGGGCTTCTTGTGGAAATTCAACAAGCTAGTAAATTCAGATTTACTAGAAGAACATTTTGACTTTTTGCCTAAGAAAACTTATCAAGATACTGATGATGATTATTCCTGAAAGTTAAGGTTAAAAGAAACATACAAGATATAAGTTTGTCTCTTCACATTTGCATATAAAATACTATTTTTTAGTTGCTGAATTTGCCATCTAATACCTATTATATTTACAATGAATCTTATCAATTATAGATTATTAATTATTTATTCTCTTTTCATATTGTGTGCTTAGAACAAATTTAACTACCAATTGCTACCATAGGCATAAAACATTTGGGAACATTTATCCTTTCTTTTAAGTTTAGCTTCAAATACACTACAAATAAGTATAAGTACACTTTAGCTACTGAAATTAGTTTGACCTTACATCTTTTTTAATGCTTTAATAAGTCAAGGCCTAAAGCTTCCTATTAGGACCAAATGTTCAGATTATTGGAAATTTAGTTCTTATTTAGTAATCACAATTATTAATTTGTCAACCAAGTCACTTGCATAACAACATAACAAAGAACAGCCTGGTAAGCATGTATTTAAATTTATGCTAATGCTGTTATCAATGTGTTTCAAAAATCAGTTAAATTAGTTTCTGTGGGAAAAAGACCCATTTTCTTGTTGAGCTGAATTGGTTGCCTTGTCTGAGAAAATGCCTAGAAATGCTCTATCCACCTGCCCATGCATTCCCCCCTCATTGTTGACATTTCCTGGTGTTTAGTGGTTTCTCCCACTTTGTTGCATTCCAGAGCTCAAGGCACTTCTTTGAAGATGGAAGGCCATTCAAGTCTTCCTTACTTTGCAGCTTCACTCTAAAGAGAGAGTAAATGAAAAAGCCATGCAGTTCAGACTATTTAAATGTGGCAGCAGGAGGGCATGCGATTGCTCTGTTAAGAAGGGCTGTGAGTGATCCCTGAATCATCTGGGAAACAAGTAGAAAGTGACCTTTCTTGAAATCAGGATGAAAAAAGATCAGAGAAAGAGCCTGGATAGTCCCATATGGAAAGCAGACTGAGGTTGGTAAGAGACAATAAAAATTATAGAATCAACTGCTGGCTCGATGTTTGATTTTGCAGCGCACTCCAACAGGTGACTTTTACTGGTGGACGCTGCCATTTTCTAACCAAAGGAAACCAGGTCATTAAAGTCAAAGAACCACAAGGCTTTTGCAGCTTGACATTCTAACATCACATACAAGTGAAGTATTTCTCAAGATCTCAAAAGTCTTGTCCCTGAAATAACAGTAGTTTCACAAGTTTTGTGTTTGTTTGTTTCCTTCATCCCCCTTATGTTGCACTAAGGCACATAAGTGCTTTCATCTAAGTAGCCACTGAGAACACATCACTAGCTCTATTATTTGAGCAAACTGAGATCTGTTATACAGGAATAGAAATAAGAGAATCGTGAGTTTAGATCCAATGGTGCTATTATTTTTTCATTTCCTTTACATATGAAATGAAATAAAAATATTTCCCCCCTTTTACCTCAGAAAGTTTCCTTTGAGGGTAGTTGGGAGAGCAAATCAATGAGGACTTGATTTTAAACCAATACCTGACTCAAGCCTTAACTAGCTGTGAGTACAAAAGGACGTTCTTCTATACTGCTAATTGTCAATTTTCTTTTTTGCAAGATCAGGAGTGATAAACGGGGATGAATCTGTTGGGCTCACAGTGAGAGGCTGCCTGCATTTCTAATCTGACAGTGTTTTTGAGATTGCCTCAGATCTTGAAGGGAAAGACAGGAGAACAATTTGTGATGTCTGGCATGGTCACTGGGGAAATGGTAGCATGAGATCTGGAACTTAGGATTAGATGATCTTCCAGGCTCCACTAACGCAAAATTTCAACAATGTTATGGTAATAAGACTCAACAGAAATAATGTACAGTAAAGGTTGATAAGGATGAATGCCTTTTCTCCTTTACCTCCTCAGCAACCAGTATGTGGTAGGTGCACAAAAGTAAGTATGCTCTATATAACAGAGACTGCTATGTACACTAAAGTGATGGTGATGCTACGTAAAAAAACTTTACAAAGTATTGCATATCCATGCTTACTCACATTTGGTAGGTAGAATTTCACATGCTAATCTTTTCCTCATCCTCTGTTGCAGCACTTCAAGACACACTCTCACTTATGTTTTCAGTCTTGAGGAAGACTCTAATGGCTCCTCTGATGACTAAAAAAAGAAAATTCTTTTCTAAATGGGTCCCAAATACAAGCCATAGTTACAGGCCTAAGATTTCTTTCTCCAGCTATTTGAGACCCGGCTGATTAGCATCTCTCAATTTTTGCCCCAAGAAGTGTCCTAAATTCATTGTGTATTAAGACAGAATTGAATGAGCATATCTAAAATTTGCTACTTACAAATATCTTGGTCTGAATCAAACAATATATCATTTGGAGAAGTAGCAGTTTACATAATTTGGGGGCAAAGGAAATTGATGGCATAACATACAAGCAGTTTTTAATTACCCAGCTGACATTTATTGGGCACCCCACAAGCACTAAGCATTATACTGGATATCCAAAGGAACAGAAATGACTTGAGACCACCTGAAGAGAAACATATCAACAAGTGTAAACACATAAGATAATTGTCTCTCCCATCAGAATGCAGAGTGAAAATTATTACAACACACAGGAATAAAACAGCAAAGATTCCTGGATGTGCAGAGTCTTGAGCCAGTCAGTGAATTATAAATTCTGACTCAGTCAAATAGTCATTTTATTTAGTTTCTTCTCCAAATATGAAAGAATATATTATGAGGATATGCTGGATGTTTGAATGAACTGAACTCTGGTTCAAAAACTAAAATGATTTTAAAGCGTATGGGAAAAGCATGTGCCTGAAGATGACAGTATTAAAATCTCTTCCCAAAAAAGTATACTCAGATCTTGTACTTGGATTATGCTAAGCAAGAATAAAGAGGTTTGTAAAGAATTCTTAGGAAGTATTTTCTTATATAACACCCTGCCAGTATCCCAGTCTTCTCCTGAAAACTGAGGAGTCAGGGTTGATCTGGGAAAATGAATACTAACAATTTAGAACCTGGCATAAACATTAGCAGTAGAGGGTTACTTTACTATTTACTGATTATTTTAAAAACAGTTAATTTCTAAGATTAAAATGGGCCAGGTACATTCTCAGAACCATTGTGTCTTTTTCCATTTCATTGTTTTAAAAGTTTATCTTTTTATCAAGACTTAACCTTTGCTGAAGCATAGGGCTAAGACACAATCACAATAAAACACCTCCCCCTTAAAACCAGTACTTCAGAGCCCTGTTAAATCAAAAGAAAAATTCCTTCTCTCCTCCCCAGTCCCACAGCTCTCAGGATTTTAAATGGTAATGATCAGTTCATTTGAGAAAACGGCATTTTAGTGCTTCCCTTCACAAGCTCTTAAGGCGCATAAGGTGTCTCTTTCCCAGTGATGTGCACCTCCTTTTGTTTTCTAGCATTACTGGAACTGACCTGGCATGGATCACTGGGTGAGCAGGCAATCTTAAACACTTCTCATATAAATTACTGGTTCCTTTCCAAGTGCAATTGCTCACAGGGTAATATACCATTTTACAACTCTGATAGCGAAGTCTCTTCGTTCTACTGAGTTCCACACTCCCCACTAATCCCACCACCAGGAAATGTACAGACAAAAAGACTGATGGAGATATGAACCTCAGAAATGTAAACTCTGGTTCAACTTCCAGTACACGCATAGTGGGTAATTTAGGATCCTTCAATTCTTCTCTTCTTGAATTCCTGTCAAATATGCTTTTCTTGTTTTAAAAGCCACCAATGAAAATAAAAATATCAAAATAACACACTCCACGTATGTGGAAACTAGAAAAAGTGGAAAGTGGGCAATAATAAATATGGACAGCTATTAAAATATATACTTTTAAAATTTTCCAGAAAACAAAATGATGCTCACATTTTATGATTTATGTTTATTACATAGAGATGACACACTGTGTTTCCATGCAAACGAGACTCACATTAAATAAGCACTCCTAGATTCACTAGATACTAATGATGTCCACATTTTCCAATCCAATGTCTTTTTTCCCATGAACTCTAATGACAAGGTGTGTTTTTACTGACAGTTGACTTGGATCAGAGCATGCAGTATTGTATTTCAGGTTGTGGCTCTGTAAAACCCTGTAACTTTCTTTGAAGTTAAACAGTGTCAATCTGTTTCCATGTCTGAATAACTCTTAGAAGAGCCTGCCTGACCCAAGTCAACTCCTTGAAACATACTATTTCCCCATAATTGATGTTTCAAATGAATGTCCTTTCATAATAAAATGTGCTGGAAAACAAAACAGCTTTGCATCCTGCACAAGTTGCATCATAATTAAATTTTATTTTATCCCATCGAGGCATGCTAAATGTTGAGCAAAATATAATTTTAAGTAATTTGTTTGTATTCTTATCTGTAGGAGTTGGAAATTAACAGCGTTGCTAGTTTGCGTTTACTGTTAAGCCTGGAGAGCAGAGAGATTGCTTTGCAAACATTACAGTTATTATGTCTGCAGTTGGTACTCTTTGTATAAATTATTGATCAGCCAGCTTATTTTTCTTTCTGCTTAATGGATATTATAGCATAGCCGTTTACAACGCTATAGTTAAGGTTGTGTCAGCACTTCCATTATAATAAACCCTCTGTTACAGGGGTTTATAACTTGTTGTAAAAATTTGCTCTGGGCTGAAACTTGACATACAAGATCTCAGGCTAGAAGGTGGCAATTGTTCCTCTTTCAACTTTTTAAAAAATCTCTTTGTTCTGAAAGGCAATAAATAAATAAACACTTTATTCTTTTCTAACAATCCATGAAATTTCTGACTTCAAATAAAACAATTTTTATAGGCTATTTGTTGGACAATGACCTCTTCTTTTAAGCACAGAAAAAGAAAAAAAGGACCAAGATAATAAGTTAAAACAACAAAACATACAGGAAATCAACAAAAACTTCTATAATCAAGTAAATTATATTTCTCCTAACGATGAAAAAATACACAATAATATATGCTTCAATATTAAACATATTTTTATGCTATAACAGATTATATGTCCTCTCCCCACTCTTAACTATGTCTCCTGAGTAATTCATATACCTTAATACTGATGTTCTTTAGAGGAAGGTGAGGGTTGGGTTATTTAAAGAGAAAAAAAGATGACAATTAGAAAATTTCATATTTTAAAATGTACAGTTACAGGTACAATATTTATTACAAAACTAGGGATTTAAATATCTGTCTGACTTTTTGACCTTATTTCAATCGAGTGTGCCATTCCTCTCACAGTGATCTGATTTAAGAGAAGAAGGGAATTAATCTCAATTTATGTTACTCTTGTTGCTGCTTCCTTTTACAATCCGACTTTACAATCATCTCAATGTGTTTATATTTTTTAATTGAATATTAGGCTGCGCAGCCCTTAATACCAACTTACGGATGAAATTGAGGACACTTAACTGAGAGTAAGGAGTGATAGGAAAGTATAACTACATTATCAGGGAAAGTTGACCATGTGTCATAGAAATGATGCAGTTTGAAGTGAGGGAAACAATTCCAGGATGAATTTTTTTATATGTGTAACTATTCTTCTTGCCACTACCCTCTCCCTTCAATATGAGTTTAAGTTTAGATATTTCTCAGAATGTACCCCATGACCAGTAAGTATTTTTTGCCACCTGTCACCTTCGTTCTGGACCAGGAGAAGAGGGGATGAAGATGGGTTAGGGAGGGACTAATAGTGGTGCCAAACTGCACCATTTGTCTATGGGAACCATGCAAAGGGGAATGTGAATAGACGATTACTATGCATTCAGCAAGCATATATACACGATCCATGCATTTCCATGCTGTAAAGCAGAGCAGAGCTATTTACAGCCATTTTAACCACTTTTTTATTAAGAATAAAAGTTGGCAATATAAAGTTTGAGTGCATCAAGTTATGATCTGTTCACCTTCAGTTCCCCACCTTTTGCCCTTTGGGTAATTCACCACCACGCAATCTGTGTTTGATTAGAGAATGCATCCTTAAGTGTTATTTGTTGTTCTTGAGGAGAGGGAGGGCAGTGGAAAAGTGAGGGAGGGTATGGAAGTGAGATCCACCAAAAGTCAGAAGTTGGAAGGAAAAGTGGGGAGACAGGGACTGAAAGTGTAAAAGTAAGGAAGTCTTTGCTTAAGGTAGTTGAGGTTTATCTGCTGAGCTGATTGAGGAGGCTGTGCGTCTGAGTTAAAAAGGCTTGAGAGAGTTACTTGGCATAATTTCCCCATCTTCAATGATTTACTACTGAAGTGCAAACATCAATTTTGGATTCTCTCCTGAGAAACGTTTAACAAAGTCCGTGAACTACTGGTACCCTGATATCTTTCTAGATTTGCCAAACTTTGATAGCTCTTTAATAAACGTATGCTTGAAGTTGATCTTTTTTCTTTTTCTCCTAAGGAAACAAGGTCCATTAGTAAATACGTAGATGTAAAAATGATCTTCCTCTTTACTTCTCCATTGTGATATATCTTGGAATTGTTGAGAAATGCACTCTATTGTTAAAGCTATTTGTGCCGGGTGTGCTAATGCACTCTTTGATTGAGTGAATTAGCAGTCATAACAATCTGGCAGTCTGGCCATAGAAGTGTGCTCAAATTGATTTGTGTTATGGCTGGACTGGAAAATCTAGTGTTAGTTGTTTTTTGCCCTGGGGCATTGTTTGTACCAAACTCCACTTTTCATTTAATTTTCCAATACATTTTGAAAGATTGAAATGCTTGTGATCAACATTTGATCTACTTGCATTATTTAAAAAAAAAATCTGAAAGTAATTTCAGATTCCAAAAAACCTTGCTTTCAATTAGAGTAAACATAATTAGAGTGACGTCGTGCTCAGAATGGTAAATCTCCTTTTGAATCTATTAAGCATTTTATCTCCTTGTCCTGTCACTGAAAGGGATTCAGTCTATATCTGGAATATACATCTGTATGTTTTTGTGCATGTTTCTAAGAGAACTTGGAAAAAAATTAAAATAATAAAATTGCAATGAATCTTCTCTTCTTATCATTTCTGCATATGCCCAAATTGTGTCTGTTTCACCTAGTGATGCTATAAAGAGGATACTTAAAGCTTTTAGGAAAATTTGAGGTATTCAAGAAATACATTCAGGTATATAT